GCTTTAGATACAACAGCATTACTTGGGATGTTCTCTAGTGCCACAGCCATCATATCAAGAATGGGCCCAGCATCGCCAACCTGTTAACAACACAATTGACATTAAGTTAAAATCATGCACCAAATATGGCAGTTATATTACACCAGCTGGTATCATATTTTAACCTGTCCCTTCTCAAGTTTACTTATTTCAGTAATGTTAGACAGAAACCACCACAGGGAGTTTTGTGTTTATATTTGAACATTAGGGAGGCTATGCGCACATGAGCCAAACCACAAGAGGGTATAGTCAAAATTTCCTTTCTTTTTTCCTTGTGTTTCCGAAATATTTCTGTTTCAAAGTTGACTGAAACAGCACACCAAAACTAAATTTGATCCTTGCTCACGGGTTTACTTCTTAATAGTGGATTGTTGAGATTTTATGTGTTGTCTAAGTATGTTCAGAAAATTAAAAACAAAGGATAAATCTGATACAACTTAATCCTAAGGGGTGAAACTTCCCCACTTCCACATGAAAAAACCACACCAGGGCTAAAACTTTCCCCCACTACAACCAGACCCAGGTTCCACAGTTTTTTGTTACAACCTATTAATTCCATAACTTACCTCTTTCACTACCACAACTGATGAAATTACATAGAGATATGCATACAAGAATAGTCACGACAATTACCTAATTGCCTAGCACCTCTCCATTTCTCAGTTTCAAAAGGTATTACTTGACAAAATAAACAGGGCTTTTGGAATTTGACCATCAACAGAGTTCTTGCTAGTTAAATGAGTTGGAAAAACTCGTAAAGATTTTTCATGTACTAGACATGCACAATGAATGAGCAAAGTTGACCTATATAAGCATGGCTCCAAACTAACTAAAGTAGGCATATCATGGCATATTGGAAAATGGAAAATGGTGTTACTTGTGTTATTGTATAGTTCATGTATTATTTTTGTCTGCAATAATCAAGCGGACTTATTTTTGTCTAGTTCATGTATATAGTGTTACTTATGTTATTGCAGATTGGAAAATGGTTCCTGGCTTAAAGACTGGTCGGCTTCGGAAGAAGACACTCACGCAGCCAGAAACAGACTCGCCAGCTGCTATTCCTTTAGGATCACCCGTTGCTCCGTCTCCTGTTCTACCCGTCCGATCAAATGTGGGACCATCTGATCGACACTGAAGAGCTGAGACGCCAGAGAGTGATTCATGCCAGTGTCTTCTTTATGCCGGAGGCTGATTCACGCCGAAAGTGAGAGATTGAGGATCAATCGATTAAGAGAACACAAGTAGATTATTTAACAGTGTATACACAAAAGATTTCCAAATACAACTCCACAACCACTAATCTAGACTCTTGCAGTGGACCCTCTTCTCTTTGAATACCTGAAAAGATAACCATCAAAGAATGTGAGCTAAACATACTCAGTGAATGAATTGGCTCAACTGAAATGAAGCAAGTAGTAGTATACAATGGACAATGATTATATATGTAGCTTTCTTGGCCCTAAGGAAAATAAATACATAATTTGTGTCACTGTAAGATGCAAGTGAATGCAGCTCAACACAATTCAAGGACTCTTCGGGCTGGACGCTCTTGGCATTAAGCTAGTATAGAGTACTCAGGCCTAGGCTCCTCGGGTCAGAGCCCACATGAAATATCAATTCATTGGCTAATACCAAACGATAAATTGAATTCAAAATATTCCATCACATGTAAGCTTAAATTTTCATTAAAAGATAATATGTCACACTCACACCAACCAAAAAAACGATGAATCTCCAAGTCACTTTTTAGGGGAAGCCGAAGTGTGTGTCAATCGCCTCTGAGCCTAACATAAATGGTATTAATATCCAAACAAAAATTTTTAGTACAACGATCAATGAAAATGTATAATAATTCGAGTTCCATTCTTAATATGGCATAAACTCTTTTTCTTAATCACTTCCTAGGTTAAAATCACGTTTGGTACACCCAAAAGTTATTAGCCAGTGCCATATTTCTCAAGATAAACCCTAGCAGTCGTGTAGCGTCTCAAGTCTTAAACCTGACTTGTTTATACTAATCGGTACCTGTTACTTAGTACTTATATTGTTTCCGAACTCATGATAATGATATATTTGCATTTGACCTTTAATTATTATAATTGGGACATCCTTCGATATGTTTTGAACCTTGATTGAGATAATAACATGATGGATTGACAAGATTGGACCAAACACTCCAAATTCAGATATTTATTGTTGAGTAGTCTTTACTTTTTTGTCCTTTTCTCTCTCCACATTTTGAATCTTAATGTGAGGATAGAACCATTAGAAAATTTACTTCTGAGGCTTATATTTTGACATAAGAATGACTTAAAATAGAATTCGAACGAGAGAGTTATGCCCCTTCAAAATTTGGACATCTGAATTGTCAGCATAGTTCGCTCGAGTTAACTTTTGACCGCGTGAGCGGTCCGTAGACCTAGACAGATCTAAATTTTAAGACTCAGATCCTGCAAGTATCAAATCACCGCTCAAGCGCACTTTTTACTGCTTGAGTGGTCTATTCCAAAAACCGAGTTACCACAAGTACGATTTCATCTCTATTTGAGCGGTCTGTTCGACTTTAGTGCTACTCTTTTGGTCTGATTTGTTGGACCCAAAGCTACTTTTATGACTCTACTACATATATGGAATTCAACCAAATATTATATGCCACACCTTTCTGCTCTATATCTCTTATTTCTCTACACTTTCTCGTAGAGGTGACAACTCCAAGAAAATTCAGTTTATATAGTTGCTCGTGTAGCTTGAATGGTTATATTAATTTATTAATCGTTTAATTTCTTGTTCGTAGAATATGTGCCTTTCTTTAGACCTGCTATATCCTAATTTCTTGTCTACTGTTGATTTGTAGGACGATATCCTATTTGAAGTGCTTTTGCAACTGTTTCACGTGTCCTTTGGTGCCAAGCAATAGTAAGCAACACATGCTAGAATAGTTTTAGTGGTTATTAAGAGTATTGGTTGCTAAGAAGTCTTTAATGAGTCTTTTTAGAGCTTGAATGTCGGGTCTGCCAAGACAGATGTGATGATATGCTTTATAATGTTTCAAACCTTTTCAACCCCATACACCTATTCCATCTTTTTCTTGCAGAGGCAAGTTCAATATTTATAGATAATGGGAACAACTAAGACTTCTTATCCCAATGTATATACTTTTATTTCGTTGATACAAAGAAAATGCCTTTATGTTCTATTCTTCACTTACCAGCCGAAGTTATTAAATAAAGTAATACAAGCACTCCTAACTTGTTTGCAGTTACACTATGATCATCAAGTGCTTCTTGATGACCTAATTTCAAAAGATACAGGAGTCGAAGCTGCTGAATATCTGTTGAGGTAGTTTAGTTTAGTTACACTATGATCATCAAGTGCTTCTTGATGACCTAATTTCCTCTGAAGTTGTGAATACTAGATTTTCATGAATCATATGCGTAAGAAAAACTGTTGCTTGCTTTAGATATGTTGAGAAGTGCAGGTTTTTTTAGAGCTTACTTTAGGTAGGCAATGTATTTTCTTTTCCAGTTTTTATTGGTTGGCGTAGTTGATGCAAACAAATGCAATGCATTGCAAGATAGTACCAGAGGATGGAACTTTGCCTGAGCTCTAGCTCTTCCTTGTATCTGTATGAATTTGGGGGTGCTTTTAATGAACTTCTCAGTTTCGAAATTAGTTGAGTTAGTTCATGCCTTCAAAATTATTTTTTGTCCAAACTAACTAAAGTAGGCATATCATGGCATATTGGAAAATGGAAAATGGTGTTACTTGTGTTATTGTATAGTTCATGTATTATTTTTGTCTGCAATAATCAAGCGGGCTTATTTTTGTCTAGTTCATGTATATAGTGTTACTTATGTTATTGCAGATTGGAAAATGGTTCCTGGCTTAAAGACTGGTCGGCTTCGGAAGAAGACACTCACGCAGCCAGAAACAGACTCGCCAGCTGCTATTCCTTTAGGATCACCCGTTGCTCCGTCTCCTGTTGTACCCGTCCGATCAAATGTGGGACCATCTCATCATGTCACTAGCCAATCAATGGTTGATTCTGATGAGACACAAGCCCCATCCGAAACGCAGCCAAGTGGCGTAGGTAAGAATAAAGTGTATAAAATTTGTCAATTACCACATGCCATTGCCGTTGTTTTTTTGTAGCCAAATTTTAGGCAATTTTCATGATGTTATGTTGTTAACAGGGACTTCGAAGCCCCTACGTGTACGTGGACCGACACTTGGCAAGGGCATACAAAAAATAATTAGAGCCAACAAATGGGAAAAATGTTATGTTCACATCGATCGTGGGTTGAATGCAATGACTGGCAAGTATGCCACTCCAGCAACTAACGAGTTAGGAATTCAAATTAGAACCTTGTGCCCTTTGAAAGATGTGAAGTCATGGCTGGATCTTGATGAGACTACTAAAGCTGCCGTCATCCAAGGAGTTCTTGTAACTAATATTACTTGTCCACAATATGTAATTGTATTATGTGAGTAATAAGAAAGACTAATATGTAATGATTACTATTTCAATTTGTTTTGCATGTAGGACAAGTTTCAAATTGGAGACGATTTCCACAATGACTTACAAGCACAGGAGATTGTGAATAAGAAGGCCTATGGGTTGTACAAAGATTGGAGGTACACCTTGAAGCAAGAGTTCGAATTGTTAGAGGGACTTCCACGTGATGAGATATATGGTCATCCGCCCGTAGGGGTGACTTTAGATAATTGGAAGCATTTGCGAATTGTTAGAAGGACTTCCACGTGATGAGATCTATGGTCATCCGCCCGTAGGGGTGAGTTTAGATAACTGGAAGCATTTGATCGATGTGGCATGGCAAGATGCATCTCACTAGGTAAAATAATAGACTAGATAGAGTAGATACATCTATGTGAAAATGTGATATGCCTTAATATTGACAAAAAAATTGTTTATCTGCTTGACTTATTTTGAGAAACGGTCAAAAGCTGGCAAGAGTAATAGGAGTCAATTGCCGTACAATCATACCAATGGGTCTCGCTCATTTCCTATCGCAATGGCTGCTATGGTGAGTTCGATTTTTTTTAAACTTGAATCCATTATATATTGTTTGGATATGAAAAATGTTATGTTTTGCTACACATATATATATATATATATATGTTAAAATCTGTTAGCAAACAAATGTTAGCAAAATCTGTTAGCAAAATCTGTTAGCAAAATCTGTCTACACTATACTATATATAAATCTGTTAGCAAAATCTGTTACAGTATATATAAATCTGTCTACACTATATTACACAATCTGAACTATATATACTGCACTCTAAAAATCTGTCTGCACTATACTACAAAATCTGTCTACACTATATATAAATCTGTCTACACTATACTACAAAATGTAAACTATACTCTAAAAATCTGTCTAAACGATAATACAGATTGTGTATAGTTCAGATTTATAAATCTGTGTACACTATACTACACTATAATATAGTATACACAATAGTTTTACTAAATCTGTCTACACTAATTCATACACAATCTGAACTATATATACTGCCCAAAATCTAAACTATACTCTATTTTTCACTTAAGATAATTAGTCTTGTAGCTCTTTGTGTTTTAGATTTAAGTTAATTCATTCACAAAAAACAGATATTCCTGTACATACACCATGTTATAATACACATAATCTGACGTGATTATAAGTGGCTATGTGCGAAAATCTGTTGCACATAATCTGTTTTAGAAATTCTGTTTGATAATCTCTACTAACATAGCTCATATAAATTTGTTGGACATAATCTGTTTGAATTTAAAATCAATGAGGATTGGGTTAATTTGATTATGAGCTATGTTACTAATAGCCACTCCTCCATACTTTGGAATGGAGAAGTGATTAATGGTATCCATAATAAAAGGGGCGTAAGGGAAGGTGACCCAATCTCACCTTACCTTACCTCTTTGTACTCTATATGGAAAGACTCTCAAACATGATCACTTCCAAGGTTAAAGATCGCACTTGGAAGGGCATTAAAGCCTCTAGAAATAGTCCCCCACTTTCTCACTTGTTCTTTGCTGATGAACCCAACTGTGAAATTATCATGGATGTTCTCATTGAATTTTGTGATGTGTCTGGGCAGAAAGTCAACAATGATAAATCTAACCTTTTTGCCTCTTCTAACCTTCCTAGACATAAAGCTATGACCATGGCAGTTTGAAAGTAGGATCCCCCTGACGTAAGATCTTGGTAAATACCTGGGATCCCTACTTCTCCATGAAAGAGCTAACAAGACCATGTTCAATGAGATCATAGAAAAGATGAAGACTAGACTCTCAGGGTGGAAAGCTAGAAATCTATCTCTTGCTGGCAGAACCACTCTCATTTTGTCTGTGAACTCAATTATTCCCAGTTCATTTGGTGTGTTGGGATAATGTGTGTAAAACAAAAGTTGAAGGGGGACTAGGTATTAGAAAAGTTAAAGATCACAATGCATCCCTTCTCATTAAACTTGGATGGAAAATTTTTAGTGAGAAAGACAAACTTTGGTGCTAAGTACTACAGTCTAAATATCTTATACTTAATTGGCCCATAAGGAAAAGATCATCTCATACTTAAGAATAACACCCAATCATTAGTCTAGTAACATAGCTCATATAAATCTGTTAATGATAATCTCTTTGAATTCGAACTAGAATAGTGCTGCCTCTATTTCCAAATCTGGCTGCAAATATGTCTGAAAATCTGGGAGAAAATCTGTCTCCAAATCTGTCTACCAATCTGTCCAGCAATTTGTTTAAAAATCTGTTCATGGAAATTTGTCTGTTTGGTGCATAAAGTGTCATTGATTTATACATTGATGTGTTAACAGGTAGCAAAAGATGGAGAGTTGGATTTCCCAAAGTTCTATGAGGACAGCCACACTTCAAAGAAAACGAATGACTGGATCCATCCAAAATGCCGTGAGCTGCATGTAAGTATGTGACAACGAAATATATGTATTCAATATTTTCTTGTACTTAGTACCTAATAATACATATATGTTGCCAAAGTTTTTTTCGTCTTATTTATTTGAAATGACAGCAAGAGATGGTCAATGTACAAGCGGCTGCCATCGAGTCGGGGACGCCATTGACACAAGAGGAGATTTCAAGACAAGTGCTTGGACAGAAGAAAAGGTACTTGCTTGGATTTGGGAGTGGCCCACAACCGTCTACCATATTTGCAACACGAGCACACGATAAGGACATGGAGGCAATGCGAGCTGAGGTGGAGGCACTTCGTGAGGAGCGGCAAAAGGATCATGACGAGTTAATGAAAGAGCGAGAGGAGCGCGAGAGATGTTACAATGAGCTGTTGAAAGAACGAGAGGAGCGCATTCAATTATCCAATGAGATGTTGAAAGAGCGGGAGGAGGGACAAAAGGCAAGGGACGAGACAAATACAAAGGTCGAGCATCTCAATAACGTAGTCGCCAAACTGTCACAACTCTTGGGAATCTAAGTTGGGCATCCGACGTTTGGTTTTTGGTAAGAACAATTTCATTAATGTCACACTTACTTTGTTTAAATATGTTCGCTTGAAGAGTTGAAAATGTCATCAATTTGGGAGTTAATCTGCCTTAATGATTTCTTGTGTAGTTACTAGAGTTTGGTATTGAGTTTTCTTAACAATGAACTTCTATTTAAAATATGTACTTGATTAAGATTAACTATAGTAGAAACATGTTAAAAAAACATAGCGAATTTCAATCTTTTTCTCTAGAGGGACACTGATAGCAGGAAGAAAGTTCATTTGGTGTGTTGGGATAATGTGTGTAAAACAAAAGTTGAAGGGGGACTAGGTATTAGAAAAGCTAAAGATCACAATGCATCCCTTCTCATTAAACTTGGATGGAAAATTCTTAGTGAGAAAGACAAACTTTGGTGCTAAGTACTACAGT